TTAGCAAACTCTCACTTTCAATTGGCTTTTATACCATTTGCGCTATGATCAAAATAGTTTTGCAGCTCAGCATTTCCAGTGACAAATTCACGGGTAAATCTACTCATTACATAAGGAAAATGGTGTCCCTATTTATATTCAACCTGAATTTAAACCAATAGATTATCCACAAGTCCATCATACAGTAATAGCTTCTCCTGTGTTCTTAAGAGATGTTGACAACAGTTAATTGCCTTAATTGCTAGAAAATAAAGCTGAGAAACTAGAGCAACCATTTTACATTCAAATGGCTTTAATATATTTAGAGTGTTAACCCACATTTCAACTAAGTCACCCAAAATATTAAGTCTCTAGAGATGGCAGGTTCCTCTATATTCACTACATACATACATAAAACAAGCCAAAATCATATTGCCAAGATTAAAATTTATTAAAGTGCCAACAGAAATAGACACAGAGAGCAGGGATCTTACACTTAAGCATTCTGCTGTATCAGACCACTTAGCAGTACTGCAGTGACGTAAGATAAGCACCTTATCAAAAAGGAACATCATTACCACCACTATATCTGGAACCTAGCACCTAGATTGCTCATGAACTTTTTACTAGTAGTCACAAAACCCAACACTAAAGAGCAGTAACAGCATAAAACTGTTTTTATTTAAAAACCGTAACTTATCATTTTATACTAGCAACACCCTGTATTAAAAGGAAGTAGCCTAAAACTTTCATGTTATCATGAGACTCTCCCAGGCCCGCCTTAAATCTTAATGCTGATGTAACCAAAATAACCATCAACAATTACCCTAGACATCATACAAAAAAGAACAAAAAAAAACCCCTCAAGACAGATGTTTACTGTCTCCAACAAATGCTCCAGAATTTACTAGGAATGTCTCTGCCTAATGACTACCACCAAAGAGCAAGCTGCTATTATATAAATTATTATACAGTGAATAAATAATCACCATCTATTCAATGTTTACTGTGTACCATGCATGAGCTAATTATAAACATTTTACATAATCCTCAAAACTGTCGGATTAGCTCCCTTTTATAGATGAAAAAACTGAGGATCAGGGAAATCAACTTGCCCAAAGACTCAGCCAGGAAGCAGGCAAATCCAAGCTTGGCTGGCTCCCAAGCCCATGCATACTCCCTCCATTGCACCACACTGATTTCTATTCTTCTAGCCTGCCTGGGTTCAGCCTGCAAGTCCAAATTACATGGGGGGTAAGCAAAGGGCCATACCTTTCATAATTCACAATATGGCAATATTGTAGATGTCAGACACCCTATTATGGTCTTATGTTTTAAAAATTAGACCAAAGGAGAAGGTACTGTAAGACAAATCTTCCTATTTCTAAAGGTGACACTGCATATCACTTAACACAGAGAAGATCCATCCACCATCACTAGGAGTAACAAGTCACATCTTATGAAAGTTTCCTGTAGAAATGAATTTCCATTCATGTCACCATGATAAATAAATTTTGAAATTGGTTATAAGCTAACTTATCATAGTACTTTAGGGTTCATATTTTCTTCTGGCAGGACTGGACACATCCAAAAATAGACAACTTCAAAGGTGTGACCCAGACTAGAAAATCTAAAGCTTCCAAAATGGTACATCCAACCCTCAAATGTTCATCCAAGCAGGTGGTTCCAATTCAATATGGGAAAGTCAAATTCACAGAAATTCTCCAATTTCACTTTAAACAAGTGACTTAACTAGAGCTCAATTCTTTACCTTAGTTCTGTTCACCTATTAATAAGATAGCAAAAGACATAATATTCCAGGACCTCAAATTAAAGGTTTTTGATAAATTGAATAGATCTTCCAAGTAGGAAGTAAACCGTTTGCTTTAGAAGCAAAACAAGCCCTTAAAGGTAAAACTGACCAGAGTTAGTACTGCCTAATGGTTAAAGACACTAACCATTGTGGCCAAATAAATCTTATTGCCTTATAGTTTGATGCCTTAAATTTGCCACTTAGAAGATGTGTAACTTTTGGCATATTATTCAATCTGAGCCTGTTTCCTCAACTGCAAAATAGGAATAATCCTTACTCCAGCAAGGTTACTATAAGGATTACTTTACACATCTTTAGAAGCGGCAAGAAGCAATTAACTGTTGTAACTATTATTTTATCAACAAATAAAGTCCTTGGGGGAAACTAGAACCACCCACCCAGTTTCCCAAGTCCCATTCATGGTCTTCCAATGTTATCATATAGTCTGTCATTCCAAATTTGGACTCTCATGCCACAATTCAGAACTGAAGTAACCATTTATCAAACCCAATCACCTGTGAACATCTAAGTGGCCTTCAAATGCTTGTTCTTAAACATGGCAGTTCAAATATAAAAAAAGGATACTGAAGATTTTGCCCAAGACTGTTACCAACTAGGTAAGCAAGCCTGATCTACAACCTTATCTAAGTGGGTTTCAGATTCATCATCAATAGCATGAGACTTCACTTAAATGGCCTCTACTCTAAAACTTTCTAGTTCAATAATAAGCTTCCTAAACAAAAATAAAACCAGGCTATCACCATTTGGCAATTCACTTCACTACCCAGAAAAAAATTTATTTCCTTGATCAGAAAAAGAACAAACAAAAAACTACTCTCATCACAAATAACATATTGTCCTTTCCCATAAAAAACTAAAATTTATTTTTATTATTTTATTATTACTAGATGATTGAAGTCTATATCCTCAACCCTCAGGGTGGTTCATCAGATCTCTGGGCCATTCATGTAGCTGCTCATCACTTCTCCAGGCACTAAAATGGTAGAATACTTACCTTCATCTCAAAAGTGACAGACAAATGTGTTAAAACACTATGTGGTTATGATCCCACCGAATTACTTCCAAAAGAGTGGGCATAAGAATTAACCCTAAAACATTCCAGGTCAACTTGGGATAATGATAATCTCTTCATTAACTCAAGAACCGTAAACACATGTGTTCTGTGATTTGCACACATTCTGGGGAAAGGCTAAATTGTGGGTTTAAACAAGTTACCATTTCCTGCTTAGCACATAAAATCTATACTGGATGTAGGGACGAATTTCCCAGGAAGATAAGGCCAACTGTTTGCTGAAAAGAGAAACTAATAATTTCTTCTCACAAGTTGTCATTTAAAGGTCTTCATTCTTTTTTTTTTTCTTCTTGTTAGGAAAAAAAGACTTGTTATAACCCAACTGTTTTGGCTGTTGTCACTAAAGAGAAACAGTTGATTCTAGAATAGTCCAACTTCTGGCGATACAAAGAAGAGTATTTGTTGGATTCCTATCAAACACTTGAGTGAAACAACTCAAAATATGGACTTCAAAACAACTAAAATTTGCATTTGGTCAAATATATTTTGATCCAACAAATGAAGATCGTATTCTTCTGGATTAGCAACAAATATTTCACTGATCTCAGTTCTTCAATACAGAGCTCAAGACTCATCCAGTGATACATCCCCAAAAGTAAAAAAGCAGAATTTTCTGGGAAAAGGAGTTCTGTATTATCAAGGAATGAGTTAGCAGTGACCTCAGTGGCACCTAAAGGATACTTACGAATTTGTATGCAGATATTCAAAGGTTAGCTGAGCTCGATTCAGACTGCTGTAATTTGTGAAAGCCATGAGTGCAGTGAGGTCTCCAGTCCTTCACCCACTAACTAGGAAATACAACCTTACAATGGAATAGATTTTGCAGGATTCCTTCCAGTAAAGGTTTGGTTAAGTCTGTGCTCCTTACTGTTAAACAAGGTTACCTAGTATCTATCCAAAATATATTCTAAGAGATGTCTAACACTACAATTGATTTCGCTTTTAAATTTTTTATCTTCTTAATGACTGTGATGTAATATTCTGGAAAAAACTGTTATAAATCTGTAGTCTTAAAGAGCTTTAGCATTCAGTTGCGATAGTTCAAGGAGTTGAATGTAGATGGTCTTGGAGTAGATGGTATTGGGAGTTGGAGGTTTTATTACTGCTCCATCTTCACGTTCTTCAAGTTGTTTTGCTCCTCTAAATTTCTGATCAGAAAATTTACCAATCCGGAAATTTACCAACTTCTGTCATGAAACTGGACAGTCACCCATTTCTTCACCACCAATGATCCCAGGGTTCTTAAATAGGCCCCAGGCTGGCGGCCATGAAGTCGATGGAGTGCATATGGCGTTAGTTCCGGCTTCACCACCTCCCCAACTGAATGGTCTCGTAAGCGCTGGTGATGATTTCTGTTTCCAAAGCCCAGACCCAACCTACTGCGTGCTCCCGTCCCAATCTCCTCAGGGTAGTGGGTCAAATTACCTCACAATGACTCACAAAAATGCCTCAGAATTGACCTGCCCAAATCACCTGAGGCGGGCAACGCCCCTCCCCCACTTCCCTCAGACAGAGGCCTCCGGCTCTCAGGCCCTTCCTGGGCCTGGGTTCCGAGGCCGCCGCCTCCTCACTGAGAGGAGTTAGTCCCAGCTTTCAAGGCTCGGACGAGGGCTGTGTGGAGAGCGCACAACCCGACCGGGCGTTGCCCGGTGCTCAAAGCTGCCTTTGTCCCTCCCCACGGAATTGGAACCCAACAACCGCAGCGCGCTCTTGGAACCATGTGCTGCCTCCGCCGCTGCCGCCGCCGCCGCGAGACCAGCCGCCCACGCGCCGCGCTGAATGAGATGATGACAGGACTCAGCACCACGGAATTCGGCGTTTAGGGCTGCTCTGCCGCCGCTGCCGCAGCCGCCTCAGCCACCTCAGCCACCGCTTTGTCTCCGCTACTGCACACAACCCGGGCCGCCTCGCGCACTCCCCGACGCCCCAAGCCCCCGAGGCCTCCGCGGCGCATTCGGCCAATCACAGAGCCGCAGCTCCTCCCGCCCCCGCCCTGATGCGACGCCTCCTGATTGGCGGGTAGCGGGTCTCCACATGACCGGATCTTGCTAGCTGGGCCCGCCCCTGTCACGTGAGAGCGCGCGCCTCTCTTCCTGCTTTCATGACCCTCTCCGCCATTTAAAGAAACAGTACCGGGGGCGGGCCGAGCGACGCAGCCGGGACGGTAGCTGCGGCGCGGACCGGAGGAGCCATCTTGTCTCGTCGCCGGGGAGTCAGGCCCCTAACTCGAAGAAGCCCTGGCGCGCCCTCCCCCCCTCCCCGGTCTGGTAGGGCGAAGGAGCGGGCGCGCGGTCGATCGAGCGATCGGTTGGCGGCTCTTTCTCCTGCTCTGGCATCCAGCTCTTGGGGCGCAGGCCCGGCCGCCGCGGCGCGCGCCCGGTGGCCGTTGGCGCTCGCGCCGCGTCTTTCTTCTCGTACGCAGAACTCGGGCGGCGGCCTATGCGTTTGCGATTCGACGAGGAGTCGTCCGGGTGGTCGGCGGCGGCGGGCAACTGCTCCGCCCCGCTCCCGGGGAGGCGGCGGCGGCGGCGGGATTTGGCGCGGCCGGGGAGGCGGGGGTGGCCGGGGCCGGCCTGGAGGCCTGGCGCCACCCTTCGGGGCCTGCAAGGACCCAATTGGGGGGGCAAGAGGGCGCTGGGGGATGGTTGGTGGTGGGCTTTCTACTTTGCCTTTTCCTCCTTATGCCCCCTTAGTGAGGGGCGGGAGCTCTGGCGGCAGCTCCGGGGTGGGGAGACAAGCCCCGGAGTCGGAAGAGCTGGGTTTGCTTCCGGGCCTAGCCACCAGCTGGCCGAGTGACCTTAGGCAAATCACTCTGTAATTTGTCGGCGCCTCAGTTTCCTTCTCTGCCTATCAATGTTTGTGGGGTTGAAAGCGCTTTGTAACGTATAAAGCGTCGGTGTACGGAAGGGATGATTATTGTTTGTAATGGGGTTTTTTTTTGAGTTGTAAGAAAAGTTAGCAATTGCCCAGTTCTTGAATTTTGGAACCTGGGAACCTTGGATTGAAGTTGGAGATCCCCCAAACTCCCCGAAATTGTATGTAGAAATAGTGGGAGTGTGCATTTTGTGGACTGAGGATCCATCGCCAGCAAGTTATCAAAGGGGGCTGTAACCCAGAAAAGTTAAGAACTACAATTGTTCTATGCCACAGGGAGGAAATTGAGGCCTAGATGTCATTTGGGACCCTTCACAACCGATTTGAAGCCCCTGTTTGAATCCCTGGGATATGTGAGCTGTTTCTATGCATAATGGATATTTGGGGTAACAACGCTCCACTGCTTGGCTTCCATTCTGAGTCCTTTTCCCTTTACCATGGGGTGCCTGAAGGGTAGCTGACACGTTGGTATGGTTCAATGGCACCCAACATAAAGCAGCTAAAACGAGAAATGGGTGTGTTCTCTAGTATCAAGAAGCCTGTTGAAGCTTTGGCCCAGCAATTCTTAGTGTTCTGCTGCTTATACTGGTACCTGACTACCTGTCTCTTTCATTGACCATTTTCCACAACCATGGTTGCCATCCATTACTTGCTTCTATTTTATATCCTTAGTCTGTGCGGTTGGTAGTGAGCAGGCTTATTTTTAAATGGTGCTGCTGAGTCCAGCTAATTAATGGTGCAGGTGGATTTTTAGCAAGCTGGCTCACTGGTACACAGACTAAACCAGGCCTGGAATTCCTGAAGATGTTTGGGGGTTTATCTTTATTAATTGAAGGTTAACACTCTCTGAAGAGTTTTGTTATGACTTCTGCTGAACTTCAAAATCAGTAGATTTGGAAGTGTTTCAATGCTTAACTTTTTTTCTGGCCTGCTTTGTATTCTCTTTGCTTGCAAGTGTGTTACTAAGATGGCCAAAATGCCAGTTATTGCTTCTTTGTTAATTGTCAGCTGCTTTTATCAAATTCCAGGCCATTGTCCAGCAAACACTATAGAAATGTTTGAACAATTGGATTTCAAACATTTTAATTTTGTGGAGTGGTGCTTACCAGTGGTACAGCTCTAAGCAAGTGAACATAAACACATTTAAGTGTATTTTGTCTGGTTAGGTGTTTACCTGTTTTGCTATTTCATACAAATGTCTGAGAAAATCAGTTGACTATTCCTTTTACCTAAAGGGCAAAGACAAATGATCTCACTTCCAGAGAAATGACTGTTTTGGAGAAAAATGTGTTGGTCTTTTAGCTCTTTTGTTATTATCTGGATGTACCTCAAAAGAATCTTAAGACTGTGGTGATCTTATAAGATGCTTTCCTCGGGAGAAAGGAGGAAAAAAAACAACTGGAACTCAAAGCTTGAAATTCTGTGACAAAACATGAGATGTCCAGGATAGGAGGCCGAAAAGGTTTCACTACAGTGTTCTGCACTAGCTGGAGCAGATGATTTTCTGTGTAGCCACGGCATGGCCTCCAGATTTCCAGATTTTCAACACTTGGGACCTGAAGAGTGTGTCAGGATGTGACAGGAACTTTGGAGCTGAATATTTTTGGTTTTGAATTTGGGGGCTGTTGACCTTGCTTTGAGAAGAGACAGCAACTGAGCAAGCGCTGCCACCAGCACCATTACTGGGAATTTGAAGACCTGAGTTTCTGCCAGACCTTCAGTGCAAACTCTAGCAACACTCCATCAAAAGTGAACTACGGTACTTGCCATTTTCCAAAATGCCTCATTCTTTACTTACCATCTCTGCACTTTTGTTCATGCTCTACTTTGGAATATATTCCTCTGGTTCTTCACCTGTCAGAACACTGCCATTTCCTCAATATCCACGTCAGATGCTCTCTACTTCCATGAGTCTCCTTAACTTTATCTTTTTTTAAGTTTCATATTCTGTTGTTTACCTTTTAGTTATCTTTGCATAGCATACCTTGTAAAGTAGTCATGTGCAAGCATTTGCTCTTTTTCCAGATAGCAAGCCCCTTGAAAGCAAGGGCTTTGTTTTAAGGATTTTTGCCCGCATGTACTACCTACATATGATGAAGCCTTTCATAGAAAGGAGTAATTTAGAGAGTGGGCTATCAGAATAAACAGTAAGCGTTTGCTTAATTGCTGTGTGGTAACCTAATTACTTTTGATTAGGAAAAAGATCACTAGTTATGGGTCATGTTTCTTTCTGTGTTTCATGGTGGGTTTTGTTTTGTTTTGGTTTTTTATTCTAGATTTAAAAAGATTTAGGGAGCCCTCAGATGTGAAGAGAAACTGAAAGATTGCATAGGGTATTAACAGAGGGTGCAAATACCAGGGTCTTATTCCAGGGGTACCTTATTCTCTCCCACACAAGATGGGATCTTGTTAAAATGAAAGTTAAAGACCGCTTTTAAAAAAGTACAGGTCATAAGATAATTTGAGGAAAGCATTGGAAAAGGAAGAAGGACAAGATCTCCTTTGGTGTTGGCATATAAATTTAAATTCGGTTCTTCTCGTGCTACCAGTGGAGCCACTTCTTTCTCCCCAATCAGGCACTACTCAGCAGCCTGAATACAATCAAATTACTCCCCCAAATTATGAGACTTAGGGCAATTCCTGTTTGCTGCTTCCCTAGGACAGTTTGTTCTCAAGAGTCAGGAAGCAGTCCCTGCCAGAGAACAGTTATCGTCACTGATTGTTAATCAGAAAGCTTTTTTTACTCCCCATTTATCATTTGTCAGCTTCTTAGCTAGGCTTATCTAGAACTAGTACCCATCAGGCAGCTGATATGTTGACAGCACACCCACCCTAGTGTTAGTGTCCTGTGTTTGTAATTCCATGCATTTGTTATCTTACCTGTTTTGTTCCTGTCCCTTCCAGTCCTGTGCCTCCTGATTGCTGAGTGTTCACCTGGACCTTCTGACTACCTTCCTTGTACTGTTCCATCAGCCTACAGATCTGGTACCTGGATTTTTGCCCTTGGTGATTCCTTCACCTTACTGCTGAAGAAGACACCATTCCAGTGGGCCACTGTGATCCAAGAGGCATTCAACCATCATGATGTGGCCTTCACCTCCACTCCTGTCCTGTTCCACCCAGATTCAGCACAGCCCTTTATAGTGAAGTCAAACTGTTTAAGTCAAGTAGCTGAAGCTATTTTATCACAACAAAGGCCCCATTTGTTCCTTGATTGTGCATTTCATTTCTTCAGTTAAAGCCTTCAGAGACACATAATAAATTTGGACCAGAGGATTTTTAGTTATCAACACTGAAGAATGACAACATCTTTTCAAGAACGGCATTGGACCATACCCCACAATTTCAAATGATTGAAATTCATGAAGTGTCTAGGATCCTCTCCAGGTCACTGGATCTTATTCTTTTTCCACTTCAAGTCTATAGTAGCCTACTGAATAGAAAGCAGATATTCTGACCAGCAGATATCGGGATTAAAACAAAGGCACAGTGAACTCACAGCATCTTTGGGATTACTCAGGAACCAGAACTTTTCACACAAATTTAAGAAATTCTGCCAAGGAATCCCTTTATCTAACAGCATCTCACAAAGCTGCAGTCAGATTCCAGAAAAGGCATCTTGATACATCCAGGTAGAACCTATAATGGTAATCCCTTATGTTTATATAGCACTTTATAGTTTCAAAGCACTTTTACATGCATTAATCTCAATTATCAAAATAACACAGTAAATTATAATCCCTTTTTGCAAATGAGGAAATGGAAATTTAAAAGGTTATCCAAGGTGACACAGCTACAAAGTGGTAGAGGTCAGGCCTTCTGACTCCCAGTCCAGTTCTCTCCATGGAATTAACTTAGCTTCAACTTTACCTGCAGTGTTAAGATGACTGGAGGTTGGTAACCCCAGAAAAGTTTTCAACTTCTGATCTGGTACCCTCAGTCAGTCAGGATGTCATAAGTGTAATCTTGTGATGGCTGCACCTAGACCAGAATTCCATGGCAGTATCCCTAAGGTTTAAGAGAGGACTGTCTCCATAGTGGCAGATTATTCCAGTCAACAAGGCACACGTTCATCTGACAATAAGACTATGTAACATGAAACACAAAGCTACTTTTAGATCTGTTGTTCCCATGGTCTTCCCAAATGGCCTAATTGATTGGAGATCCCTGTTCATGTTTTGTTCTCTTTTTTTTTTTTCCTAGGTCTTACTAATAACTCTTAGACACCAAGATCTTATCTATGGTCCTCTACCCCCAAACATGTACTTGACATGAGTCCTACATTTTTTTAGAGCAGTGCTGTTCATATATGTGTGTATGTATATTTGATGCATACTCATAACATGTATACGTAGAGCTTCCATAGTCCTGTAAGATGGTAAAATATGTGTTCCCTCCCCTGATTCATTGTAGTGTATTAAAGGATCTCAGAAGGCTTGCGACAAAGAGCCTCATTGAGCTGTTTAGCCCAGTGTGTCCTAAGTATAATTAAACACAGAATGTTATTGTTGCAGCATTCCTTTAAACGGAATGGGGAAACTGCTTTAATGCAGTATAGCCAGTACTGGAGACCCAGGAGTAAACAGCATCTTTGAAGCCCCTCCCCCCATTTCTGACTTTGTCAATAACTGCTTGAATTGGTATGTCTTTATCATCTGAGAGTCCTACATCTTGACCATTACCTCTGTTTTTCTGTTAAAGGAACCATTAGAAGATCTGTGAGGATATATGGGAAGGGAATGGGGAAAAGTTAATGTTGACCCCCAAATTGGATGAGTTCCATGACATTTAGCAATATACTTCTCTGTCCTTAGAATTGTGCTGTAAATCTAGCTCAAAGGCATTGAATCTCAGGTGGGTGAGGAGATTGGGAAGGGAAGGGAGGAGGAGAAAGATGGAAAAAAGGGGGAGGAGGGATGAGAAGGAAATATTTTCTTAGAATTTGAGTTGTGGCCCATTGAGATCTTACCAGTGCTTGAAGAGAAGTCCTCTAGCCATGGACTTGGGATAATATTTGCAAAGAAATGGAATGCATTTTGCAGACGTATGCTGACTGCAAAAATCCAATGCTGTTGTCACTTAAAACCAATAGCCTGTTCTCTGATAGTCACAAACCCAGTTTGAGGCCATCAGAATTTACAGCAAACTTGAATGTTAACATCATTCTGTAATGTGGCCCATATTAGGGAAAGAATGACTAGGAAAACACCTTCTTGGCTTACCACAGACTTTGCTCACAGTTTCTGGTTTCTGTGACCTATTTTTTGTATTTCAGCATTTTGTGAACAACTTATTCTTAGATCATTGGTTTTCCAAAGGCTTTGTGACCATGAAGCCCTTTGGATGAAAACTGTGTGGAAGCCCAGAGTAAAAGAGAAGCTGCTGTAGATGAAGCAGGAGTGGGGGGCCTGAAACCTGCCACACAAGCATCTTCCTTTACCACCATGGTGACCCCTAAGGAGACTTCTTTACAACACCTAGAATTCTTCAGAACACAGTTTGAAAACCACTGCCCTAGACAACATGTGCAACCTGAATGGCATTCTGATCTGTACCTCTACCCAACCCAGTCCGTGTTCAGTTGATGCTGCACATTCTTAGGAATACTTACCGTGGGCAGAATCAGAAAAGTGCAAGAAGATGGGCATATCTTTGCCCCCCCAGAGTAGTCATGTGGGCCGAAAGTGGTATCAAATGGACCTAGATTAGCAGCCCTGTACCCCCAGATGGATTTCAAGTCAGTGATTCCTGGGATTCAATATAGTCAGCAATTCATATGTACTCCACACTGACACACCCCCTTACTCAGCCTCTTTAACAAACACCAGATGCTCTAGCGGTACTTGAAATATGTAACTTTGAAGTCTTGATCCTCCTTGGATACCTGAATCGCCAGGTATTGAAGCTGGTACTAAAGTTGATGATGCCTCATTGAGGCCATATTAGACCAACTTGTACATTGGACCTCCCATCATCAGCCATGGTACTTTACTTCGTGTGCAAGGGATAACCATTACCTATGAAAGTAGAACTGAAATTCTGGCAACATTACCTAAAAGGGTACCTGGTTATTCATCTTATTCTCAAAACTACAAGTCACTATGACTCAACCAGTGGCAGTTACACTGCTTCTTGGTTATTATTCAGTTTAACTGCTGTTTCCAGGATAAATGAGCTAATAACCTTAAAAAAGTTTCCTCCATCATTGGCATGTCTGCTCCACAATTATGAATACTCTGCTCTAACTACATGTAACACCTGATCCACAAGAGACTATTTTTGAATATCCTCTCTCATGTATGTGATTTTAAATGTGATCTTTTGGAAAATTTTCTTCTAACCAATGAGAGGTGTTCTTTTATGATGGCTCTTTTGATGTCTGGTACCATCAACTTCAGGTGTTAGGGATATTTGGAGGTAGGCCTCTTGACCAGGCCATAGTAGCTTGCTTGCTGGGCATCTCAAGTTACATATCATCCACCTTTTTGCTGGAAATGTAGACTGACTTGAAAATCTACAAAGCCTGCAGCTAAGATTTTATCAGTAGACTCAAGAGCTTCCTGCAGCTTCTTCCTAATGTTACAAGACCAGTGTCTTGTCTTTGTGGATGTTTTCATGGAATTTCATCTGTCTCAGTACTGTTGTTTTATACTGATTCAGAGTGGCTGACTTCATTCCTTGCTATGAGATACTCTCAGGCATTAAGACACTTACCTGTTTCTACAGGATGGATTCAGTTCGTGAACTCCCAGACCAGATCATGTCAAACAAGTAGACTTCAATTTGTGTCGTGAGAAAAATCTCAGTCCCTTACTTCACAATCTACTTAAGGGCCAGCTGTCCTCAACTATACTCTAGTGAATGCACTGGTTAAATGTTGGGAATGGTTTCTTTGTATCTTTGTCTCTTATTCTCTAGACTAACCCTGATTACATGACTCTGTCTACAAATCATCAAACAAGGCCTGTGCATCCTCAACTAATAAAAATCTAATGACTAGCTTGCTTGTATATACAACTATTTGTTAATAAGAAGTTATCTACAAACTCCATTTTTCTACTACCTTCAAAACGTCAGCTCGATTTTCTCTTCTGTACTTACAGAAAAAGACACTGATCTACACTGCCAGTCATTCCCTTTAATCCTGTCAAATGCAGTCAAAATGAGGGGCTTAAGGTGAGGATGATCATCTATTCAAGAGTCTAATGTACGCTGTGTATAAGAATTGATGGTTGAAAATGAAGAAAGCCTAAAACTCAAACCCAGGATCTTAACTACTATCTGCCTGCCTCAGATCTCAATCTAAGTCTTTCAGCAGCACCATCCAACCAATCTAAGGCCTTGTTTATAAGCTGATTCTCAGAGATGGGCTGAGTTTCAGAAGATGGAGACTTGATTACCAAAGAGAGTAGGGCCAACCTTCATGAACCTGGCTCTCCCAACCTTGTCATTCCCAGATGTAGCATAGACTCCTCAACAGAACCTCAAGTCTGAATTGAGAATATAGCCTTCTACTGAGCTGAAAGTTCTGGGGCAGATAAACAGAAAAATGAAAGCTGCTATACCTGACTGGCCCTTTAAGATCAGAAAATGATATCCAGAGTAAACCTACTAAGGAATGACCCTGGAGTACTCAGGGTAAAAACTAATTTACAGAGCTTCGATATCAATCTACCCATTTTTCCAGATCACATCCTGGCTATTGGTGTGGCTAGCCCTGCTGAAGGTACCCTATTTGTCTCTTTAGACTCAGCCCTTGTATGCCTTTTTTGACATGTTGGCAATCAGACTGGCTGTGCATGAGAGAACTACAACTGGTATCAGCCTGTCTTACACTCAGTTCCACCAAGGAGTTTTGAATAGAAGCAGCCTGCATCTCACACACACACACACACACCCCCAGGACTTAATGTTCACAACTGGAAGGACTGTGCTATATACTACTTGACCAGCAGCCCTTTTTTTTTTTTCTTAAGTGCAGAGTAAGCCTCTACAATTATATATATTTCATCATTTTCAGCACTTGAGACCCCTTCTACCAGATCTGAAGGACTACAGATTGAAAGCACTGTCCATTCCTCTCTTCTGCAGTAATACAGAGGTGACAGAAATGTACCACTTCACCTTGACAAAAGACTAAAGGAATGCAAGAAAAGTTTTCCACTGAACTTAGAAGTTACACTGACTTAATAGCCTCACAGAACTATTTGCCAGTGGGAGGCTTGTTGTCCTGCGTTGTGTCTGCAAGATGGCTGGGCTCTCAGATTCAAGGCCACTGAGTTTACTTCTGTTGAAACGCTATTGCATCATCCAAAGTATGCTATTGGACACAATTATTCCATTGAAATGGATTACAAGCTTCCTGAGTACAGGACAAATTTAACTCCTCATGGTGTTTTTTCAGAATACTTTTATTGTCAAGAAAGTAACAAATGCCAGCTGTTAGTGAACAGATACTAAACTTTTTCAGTATTATGGGTCATATTGACATCAGGTTTTGATTGACCAGCATCCATTCCATCTCTTTGTAGCAACTCTGTGATGTTTCTTGGAACCACTTTTCCGTATCTTCAGTCCACATGATTCAGACAGTCTGGCCCAACTTGAAGCTTCATGGGTGGACATGTAATTCAGACCTGATCAATCAGCATAGTCCATTCTTTCACCAAAAAGATTGGTTCTGGAATGGTTGTGTGATCCAAGTTGGTCCAGTGATACTCAGCCCTAGGAGTTCTACTGAACTGTGGAGGAGAAGCTCAGAAGCTCTCTTTACTGAGGTTGCTTGGCTTTGTAGTATGAAAAGCTCAAACCAACAGGGCCCACCATATCAAATGAGCCAGAGAATGAAGCCAGTGCAGAGCCAAATGATGGAGAGACTTGAGTCCTGATGACAATGTTTGTGCCCCTGGATCCAACCGTGCCTGAAGCTAGTATATCCCTATGGACTTTTCAGTTATGTGAGCCAATAAATACCCTTTTTTGCTTTAAGTTACTTTGAGTTGGGTTTCTATTGCTTAAAATTGAGTCACTCCTGACTAGTATACTGTCTACCAGCATCGAAACTTGACAAATTCAAGTATTTATTAAACTGGAGGTCATGGCCACACGGAAGTCTTCCAAACCAGAAGACAAAGTGAAACAGGAAGTGACAATGTTTAAGTTACTACAGAAGCATAAAAATTACATGGTAGAAAAATATAGAAGAAAACCTAAATGTGTATAGGCAAAGGATTGGTTAAATAACACATGGCTCAGCCATATAAAATCTACATGGCTGTTAAAATTAATAAAATACAGTTATTGTGTATGAACATGGAAAAATGGCCATGATATATTAAGTGAAACAAACAATAGAAAAATGTATAGTATGAACTCAAAAATTTGTGTTTATGATGCATAGAAAAGTCTACTAATGGCTTTCTTCAAATAGTGTAGATTACATGAACTTTCAGCTTTATACATTTCTGTATTTGAATATTTTCCACTAATATTACATTTAAACATTATTTAAAAATAAAGAATTTTAAAAATTAAATTTAGTACTTATTGTTTGACTTGGACAAGTTACTTACCACTGAGCTTATTTTGTCAAGTAATTTAAAATACCCATCTTTCTGTTAGTGAATATTTAGATAAATATAGTCATCATCCGTTAGTGAAGCTGACAAGGTTATTGTACCTTGTTTGAGGAACTCAAACTCAGCGATTGATTCTTAATTTTTCAAGCATGTCTCTTTAAATGAGGTTTTTTTGGATTATCAGGATATCCTAGTATCAGTGTTCATCAAAGATTATTCCAGTTCTCAACTGATTAATTTATTAAGTCCTCTATTGCAGTGTTCACAGTAGGTAGGTAGAAGAAAAAGATCATCTTTTCTTTGAAATCCTTGAGTATTTTGATATCACAGTCAAGTTCAATAGTGACCTTTTTATTGCTAAGTCTAGTACATATTCATCTTACCTGAACTTTCAGCAGCACAGTCTGCTCCCATCATATCTTGGCACACTCTTTTTCCCTTAGGAATTGTGACACTTCTCATTTTCTTCCTCCATTTCTGGCTTTTGCTCCATTGTAGATAGTTTTCTTCTCCCCACCATTTAAATATTAGTGTAATGGTGTAATCCATTGATTTTTGCCTCCCATTTCCCCTTTAATGATAAATCCCCACTTTTTCTTTGTAATGCTGTTCCTTTCCATTCTGAGGTTTTAGTGGAACTGTAGATTACAGTATTCCAGCCTCGTGCCCCCCTAGTTGATCATGTGATCCAAGGCTTGTCCAATCAGAATTCCCCTCTCACCAGGACTTTGAGTCTAAAGAGAGGTGATGCAAACAAAATCAGGAATTGAGTCATTCTGATGGTAGTGTCCCAAGGAAGCTATATCAGAGTTGGTGCAAGAACATTCCCCCATGGTGCCCTGGTTCCTGTTGCAAGGCCTAGTTCCCAAATTTTCCTTTGATTCTGTAGACTACCATATATCCTTAAAATACGTTCCCTTTTCATTTGTCAGCCAAAGCAGGTTTCTCTTGCTTACAACTAAATGACTGAATGATAACAGAAATTGATACCAGAGAGTTAAATGCGCTTCAGACCTTTAGGAACATGGAAGATCTGGAATTGAGTCTGCACTAAAGGCAGCAAAAACTTGCTCTGTATCCCAGGGTAGGGGAAATAAGCAATTTATATTGGCAAAGGAGCCAGTAAAGATACTTCCCCTTGTCCTTTGGAAGCATGTGCCTGTTGATAACCAGGTACTGATAACAGATACTTCACACTGACCCCATCATTTTTCCCTCAAAATATGCTCTTCTCATTCTTTTCTTGATAAATGGTTCCATGCTCCACAGACTAGAACACAGGAATTATTCTTGTCACTTCCTTTTTTCTGTCACCCCTAACATCTCTGTTAGTCATTAAGGTGTATCATGTAAATGATACACTCTCCTGGTATATCCTGTAAATATACCTTAAAACCAAGTATCTGTTGACAGTGGGACAATTTGAAATGGATAAGGAAACCATTCTACTGGCAGTATTTTCTCACTAATATACACAGGTGTGTTGGTTAAATATGGTAGCAGATGCATAAATTGTTGATTTCAAGGTACAGTTTAAGAACTAAAGGACAGTATCACCCAGAAATTTTAGGTTTGACACTGGATGTGATAGTGGAATTTATTTTTAAGTTCTCACCTTGGGGAGAAGAAGAATCCATTTTCTACAGTATGTTGAATGGAAGCATTTATAAAGTCATTCATGTTGAAGAATGCATGTCCTGGGCAGCCAAGGGGTAGAACATAGTGGGCAGTGCATTTACCTAACCAGTGTCTCTCCCCACCTCCTTTGAGAACAGCACCTCACCTTCCCTTTGTGAAGCTGCCCCTCTACCATGCTACCAGAACATAATATGTAAATGGCATATGAGTTCATGTTACCGAGGTTTCCTCAGTTGCCCAGATTCCTGATTTTCTTGAATGTTAAGCTTCTCAAATTTTTGTGAACTGCCTTGTATCCTTCTAGTAAATTGCATCAGCTGTGCAGACTAATACATATGGCTGTAAAAGGTATCCCTTTACAACCAAAAGCAAAGGCCTGGTAGCCAGGACCAATTTTTGTTACTTACAGTCAGAGAAGCTCAACCAAATCGGTGTCCCTCCTGTGTCTTAGGCCTTCTTGGCCTACTCTGAAGAATCTTCCCCCATTCCCTTGGCTTTGGTTTCCAACTGTATGTGGATAACTTCAGATTCCTATTTTCAGCCCAGATAGATTTCCTGAGCTCCATATTTGAATGTCCACCTGTCATTTGGATATCCCCCTGCTTGATAAACAGATACTTCACACTGACCCCATCATTTTTCCCTCAAAATATGCTCTTCTCATTCTTCTCTTGATAAATGGCTCCACGCTCCACAGACTAGAACACAGGAATTATTCTTGTCACTTCCTTTTTTCTGTCACCCCTAACATCCCTGTTAGTCATTAAGGTGTATCATGTAAATGATACACTCTCCTGGTGTATCATGTAAATGTACCTTAAAACCATCTCCATTCTATCAGCCTTGTCCAGGGTATCTATTGACAGGACTATTGTGATGCCATTCTAGTGTCACTCTCTCTACTGCTGTCCTACTACAGTCTGTTCTTCACAGAGCAGCTAGAGTAATCTTTGATAAGCAGATCTGATTGTGTCACTCTCCTGCCTAAAACCTTTGAACAGTTCCCCCATTGTTTCAGAATAAAATCTAAACTTTTATTCTGAAACTTTATACTTTTTTTACAAGGCTCTTCATTATCTTACTCAAGCCTTTCACCACTTCAAACAGAAATAGCTCAGTTTTGTATATTGGCGTTTACTGTAATATTTCATATGAAAAAAGGATTCCAAGGTTCTCTTTCCATGAAGTTTCTAAATTAAATCTGATATGTGTTACTACTATATAAATAGAGCTACAGTAAGTGTCTAGAGAGCAACCAGATTCCTGCCTCACAACATACAGATACCAAAGGGACTGCAAATTCAAATGTTAAAATGAAATATTGGAAGAATTTTGAGGAGACTTTATAATCATATGATGGGGGTCATAAGCAAAACAAAATCTAGAAGTTCTCAAGGAAATTAGAGAAATACTTGACCACATAAACAAATTTGGGGAAAACAAATCTTGGTTCTATAAAAGACATGAAAAATTTCCAACACAAGTGACAGATTGATGATTAATATCCCTAATATACAGAGAGTTCCTACAAATTGATTGCTACAAAACAATCATCCCAATAGAGAACATCCGATAGGCAACTCAAGAAATTTAAAAGACCAACAATAATAGTCACCACTTACTTAGAGCTTGCTATGTGCTAGACATTGTTTCACGCACTTTACAAGCATTATTTAATACAACTTACCCTTGGAGATAGGTAATATCATCCCTGTTGTACGGCTAAGAAGACAGGCTTAGGGCGCCTGGGTGGCTCAGTTGGTTAAGCGACTGCCTTCGGCTCAGGTCATGATCCTGGAGTCCCTGGATCGAGTCCCGCATCGGGCTCCCTGCT